CAGAGCTGTGACAGATAAAAAATAATTCACGTGTCTCTAATTATACCAACCACACAGGTATATTCTGGAAAAATCACTTACAAGTTAGGGGTTATGAATGAATTGACTTATTGACTTAACCATTTGGTCAATTCCTGATCTTCACAATTTTCGTAATTCCCCCCCTCCATTTATTACAATACGTTCTTCTCAGTTTAATATCTGATATGTCCCTAATATAAATGATAATGCACAACAGTGTAAAACGCTTTCATGAGCTGAGTAGTCACTTATTGGTTTGTGATGCATCTCATTTGGTTTTTGGTAGCAGCTAGTGACAAAGATATTTTTTTTCTGTAATTACAAAAATTATTATGTAGTGTTTCACAAAGATGTGCTAATCTGTCTTTCAGTCATGCTGCAATTTAAATATATTGATCTAAATATAGTTCAGACTTTTATCAGCTATAATACATATTGTATCCCCGTACTGTTTTTAACAGTCATTCAAATCACTATTCAAAACTATTTTTAATTTTAATATGGCTACACTTTGTGTTTTTTATGTTTTTATTTGCTCTTAAATACAAAATGTTAAGCCACTTATTACTGTATAATATATTTTATATAATTAATATCTAAAATAATATTGTAACGCTTCAGGGTTCAGGGTTCAGGTGGGCACCCTTGCTGCCACCGCATCTTGTCAGCCCCCCACCGTCAGGGACATGAACCCAGGCCTCCGGCATCACTCAACAAGGACCCAGCCTGTTGAGCTAAAGAGAGATCTCCCCCAAGCCTAGCGGCTGTGGGCCCTGCTATTACAGGGAAGGGCGGTGACATCATTGCTCTGGTAAGCCAGCTTTCACACTCATTGGTGGCTGTAAGCGTTACAATATTATGTTTTCTAATTACAATTTATACACAATTACGAAATCTTCTGTATACTATATGCAATAAAAAAAACAATAATTAGTTTTCTACAGTATTGTGACATACAATATATCATTTGGAGTTGTGGTAGCAACATGATAACAATTGTTTCTTAAAATCATTGTGCTTAATGAAACGCTATTACAGTACTGTATGCATACAGTATGATTAGTGCAAGACAGCACTATATAAACATTTAATAATTTAATATGCCAGCAGCCATATCACCCTGCAACTCACAACTGGCAACCCACTGAAGCTAAGCAGGTGTGAGCCTGGTCAGTACCTGGATGAGAGACCTCCTGGGAAAAACTAAGGTTGCTGCTGGAAGAGGTGTTAGTGGGGCCAGCAGGGGGTGCTCACCCTGCAGTCCATGTGGGTCCTAATTCCCCAGTATAGTGATGGGGACACTATACTGTAAACAGGTGCTGTCCTTTGGATGAGATGTAAAACTGAGGTCCTGACTCTCTATGGTCATTAAAAGTGTGTTTCTCGTAAAGAGTAGAGGTGTAACCCTGGCGTCCTGGCCAAAAAAATGGCCAATCATGGCCTCCTAATAATCCCCCTCTATGAATAGGCTACATTACTCTGCTCTCCTCCCCACTGATATCTGATGTGTGGTGAGCGTTCTGGCGCACTATGGCTGCCGTCGCATCATCCAGGTGGATGCTGCACATTGGTGGTGGTGGAGGGGAGTCCCCATTACCTGTAAAGCGCTATATAATTGTAAGCAATTATTATTATTACGGATTTGTCTGACAACCACATGCAGCTGTACTGTACTTTAAGGATTTGCTGTGTGGCAAACTGCAATATTAACAATTTCAGTTGTATTGATTAGTTTAAAGCCACTTCATGAAATTCATTTTCTGAGAATTTCCATGAAATCAGGCACATTAAAAAACTTGGTCCAATCCAGGCTACATGTTACATTTTAAAACAGTAGCTAGACTTTATATTTAATATGTTTCTTTAACATATGTTATTTTTTAAGAAATATGATCATTAGACTAAGAAAAAAAAACTTCAGTGGCAGTTTCAGTCGCATTTAACACAACACAAACATGACCTATTAATCCTCTTTGGGCAGCGAAGGGTTACATTCAACATGCTAAACAGAATTGTGATATACTGCTGATGCAAAATCTGATGCAAATTCTACTAATATGCTGTGTCCATACTGTATATATAAACATTTTCAGATTAACAGGTCAGTTGTTAATAAAAACACAGTATGGATAGAGTATCTAGAACACATTCTAAAATAGCAAAAGATAGTACATAAACAGTGTTCTTATTGCATATTTAGCGATTGATGCATTAGCATGTTCCTGCCTTCTCTGGTCCTTTAAAGAAATAAATAAATAGCTGTCTGAGGATGATTATAATGTTTCATTCTGTTGTTTGGAAAAGAACAGATCATAATTCTGTGTGGATTCTGATTATTAATTTGCACAGTGTATGAAAAATTATGGACTTAATCATGGATTCCTTTAGAAGCTGTAATTAGGACATTAAAGCTACAGCATGCATATTAGCCAGCCTGTGCAAGCTTTACCCTAGTGAGGCATTTGGTTTATGAACTCTACATAATGACTTCATAGCATCCCAGTGTTCTTTAGCAGTAGGAAACAAGTTATGAGAAACAAAAAGGAATGCAATGTCTACATATTAAAAACAGGGGCAAGGGGGAAGTACTTCAAGTAGGAAGCTGGGTCAGCACATGTAGGCTGCAAAGGAACAGGTAATGGTTTTATTCCATGCTGAAAAGAAAAGAAACACAACATTTCGGCTATGGATTCTTCTTTAGGTGGGAAGTGGGACAGGGGGAAGGGGGTGCCATTTTTTTACTTGATGTCAATGTCAGCACTGCAAGAACCACTTTTCTACTCATGAAGGTACTTGCTAACAGCGGTAATTTAAAACTGTTTACAGACTGGCTTAATCTCTCAGAATAATTTTAAGAATTTATTCCTACAAACACTAAACAGTAGGAATGACATTTCCTATAGTCTTATACAAATGACTGAGAAAGAAAAAAATTGTATGGATTTATAGCTGCAGTTACTATTTTTTTAGTCATTGGCAACTAAAACTGGAATCTGGCTTTAATAAACTACTATTCCTACAATAGGATTCTAATCATGTTATCTCTGGATAAACGTACTGAATATCAGGACCTTTTACTGGTCATTGTATTTGAGTACAGTGTATGTTTAGAATAGTTTTTTTCTTTTTAATGCCTTTAATGTGTTTATCACTTAATGCTTAATTTACTTTTAAACGTTCTCTGTGGAATGTTTTTTATCAATCAATATCATGTTTTACTTTAATATTACCTTTGCAATGTGGCAATAATTAAACCACATTGCAAATCAGGGTGCAGAGATAAAAAAAAAAACTAGTTATTTTGACTCAGTGATTTACTGTACAGTACATCTCCCCTGTATCTGTACATCATTAAGTAGTAATCTATTGAAGCGAATAGAGAGATATAGAGGAGCAACAAACAAGGTTTAGATTTCCTGGCATGGTATTCTGCAGCACTGATCTTCAGAAAACAGTTAAACAGATCTAATTCAGAAAATATTAAAAGTGTTAGGTCTGATTGAAAAGTTCACCTCGCAAACATGGTTTAACCTATATTTTGTTTTGTGTAAAACAAAGTAAGAATTTGGTTGAAAGGGAGACACAGTCTGCCCAGCATCCTCCTCAAGGTTTTTCAACTGTATTTTTCAGACTTTTTCAGGTTCAACGACTATTGACCAAGTGGCATCAGAGTTTACTTTGGGTGTGCTGGACCTGGGTGGGGTCCCCAACACATTGGTCTGGGATCAGGGCATTACAAGTAAAGCCTATTTCAGTCATCCCCATGCCAGGCAACCCAGCTGTTTATATTCTAGGATCATTGTTTAGAGTGAAGGAGATGGTTTAGTTCAATCTCTCAGAGGACTCAGAGTCATCTATTTTGTCTTAATCTCTCCGGGGCTGGTATGGGGCTTGTAGCCATTAATCAGGTTGAAACCTAATGAACTATTTTAAATACACAATATTGAAAAGAGAAAGAATGTTAATGATGAATTAATAATAAAACTAATAAACTTGCTGACGAGCATGACTAGCCAGTAAAATGATATATGCTACATGGGACAATGAGAACAGATCTGAAGTGTCCTGATGGAAATTGAGTTTTTGTTTTGTTCCTGACATATAGTAACTGTAACCAGCCTATTGGACTAAATCTGACAGCTATTACTCTTAAAACTATTATATATATTCTTACTGTATCTATTTTAATTATTATTAAACATTTTTTTTTCTTTTTACAATTTTAAATAACAAGAGGAGGGTCCCTAACCCTGATGTTATTCCCTTCCCTGAAAATTAGAAGAGATCCCAAGTCCCTCTAACCTAAATGGTGCTATACTATACTTGTGAACAATCCAACTGAACTGTAGCATCAAGTTGGAAATGCAAAAGGCTGATATAAAAATATGTGCTTATATAATATAATTTTAATATTTGTTAAAAGTCTCAAACTATAATCACTGTGTCTAGTGCTAACTTGAAATGTTGCTGAAAATCTATGGAATTAATATTATACTATTATAAAAGCTGAAATAGAACAGACATTAGAATTCTCGTTTGGGACAATCCAAAACCATGGAGCAAGTGACACTCAGTGGAGGTACAGAGGAAGCTTTCTGATACCTACTGAATATGAAGGTGACTGAGGCTATTTATCACTCACTCATCTTTTACAGACATTAAAGTGCTCAATATAAAAGAAAAAAAAATCAGTGAAAGAGATAGATTAAAACACTAACTTAAAAATCAGGAATGATTAAAAAAGTCAAACCTTTATTTAGTGCAGCTTCTGGAAAATCTAGTACAGTTGTTACTAGAGGGTTAAAAACTTCCAGTCGAAAGCTTTTACTGATAGAAGCTAGAAAGCAATGACACAGTTAAAAAAAGGAACATCCCGGCTAGAGAGTCTATCATCTTAGTAATTCTCAGAGCCGTGATTAACATGAAAAACTCTTGAGTGCACAATGCACATTCGGAATAGCACAGCACAGTCTGAACTGGGACCATGTGGTAGCCTGCGTTGGCTGTCTCCAGCAGGTTCCTGTGTGATTGCGTTTTTAAAGCTAGCTCTACCTACCTAAGTGTCGTTGACACTGGCTCTTGCTGAAGCCTTATTACTCTTTAAAGAGCAATTTGGTTGGTTGCACGGCTATTAGGATCAGGCAGCGAGGATTAGAGCTGTCATTGCAACTGCTTCTCTTCTTTTTTTCTTACAGTCTTGACATTCCTTTCTTGCATTGCTTTCCTTCTTTTCTTCTGCTGGACACAAACTGTGGATGTTTTCCATCCCACTCGCAGTGTGAAAGCTGAAGGATGTATTCCCAGTGAAACCCGAAGTAGAGAGAGCAGGAAATAATTTTGCAGCAGCAGCAGCAGCTTCAGTGTAGCACGCCGGCTGGATGTGATGTGGGCGATGCTGGATCAGTGAGAAATGTAGCTTTCCTTAGGGCTATATCAGTGAGATATTACCTCAACAGATGAGGATGGCAAAGCAAGCCCCTGCTCTCATTTCCCAGTGATTAATGACATCGTCCAAAGTGAATGTGGAGTGGAGGCAAATAAAGATGTGAAGATGAGGTGCGAGTAACTCTTGGAAATGTTTTCGAGGGGAAAAACAGGATTTTTTTCAGTGTTTGAACTTCTTTTATTTCTCTTTCTCCTGTTGTGGGAACCAACTCTCGCCAAGCAGAGTAGAACTAAAGGAAGACACTGGAAAGGTGGTAAGTGAGCAAAGTCAAATCCTACCTAAGCCCGTGCAGCTTGCTTCTCATCAGTTCTTTACCTTTCTCCTCCTCAAACATAAAAAAATAACTTGCTGTCTCCTCGGTGAAAATGTGAACCACAATGATTCACATTTTCAGTGCTGGGTCTGTTCATTGACCTTTTTTAACCCTTTGCACCTTAATTATACACAAGACAGAACAGTGTAAAAAGCACTGGAGAGTGAACCTAAAAGCCTCCACAGGGGATGCTAATTTCCAATACCCTGAAGGCCAAATGAAAGGGTTTGGGGTCAGGGGTATCAGAGTTCCCTGACAGGTGTTGTGAATGATTCTTTTTGTGCTCTGGTGTGGCTTAAGTGGTACATTTTGTTTCATGTTTTGTATTATGCTTCATGCTTTGATTTATATAGCTTTTGTTGTATGTTATGGGAGGAGGGGACATCTTTTGTTTCAGAACTTTTATTTTATTTAATGATAAAGTTTAATTTTAAAAAATGGCTTACAAGATATGAGAATGCATATTCAAAGAAGCTAATACTGCAACTAACTGTGTTTAAATGTTTTGAAGTTCAGGAACAGAGGTCATTTGGTCAGTAATGTAGCAGGTTTTGTTCTGGTTGTTGTGAACTATTTAAAACAGATTTTCATCCCACCTCCCTCCCCCTGATTGGGAGACCCTGGAAATCCAGGCCGATCACACAGTCTGGCGAATTAATCTAACCCTTAACAGCCCGGTGTTTTGCTGTCGGCTGTCAGTGTTGGGATTTTAGGTTAAAGACTGAGATCAACATTCTAAAGAGAGTTTTAATAATTTATTGCAGCACCTCTGTAGGAGGCTTTCACCCCTCTTTTTCCATATAATCCCTTTTGTTGGATTAAAGGCAGTTCTAATCTTTTCCATTGGAAAACTCCCAGCAGCGGCTCTACGTTGCTGGCACAGGCAGTTCATGCTAAGTAGCCTGCTTGTCTTCAAAGAGTGTGTTGGGAATGTGATCCATTTAATAAGATTCTAAGTCACCACTTTCTGATTCAGTCTTTTGCTTGTGATGTGTGCGCTGTGGTCTCTACCTCCAAGTGCTTTTGCTTTCCTCCGAAAGATCGAAGATCATTAATTCAGAAGATTTGGGAATTAGCGACATTGTCCACTTGCTCACAAAGGCATGTTCTCAAGTCTCATGCTGTGCCGAGACATAAATTTTATGCAACTCACTTCTTCATTTTGAATTCTCATTGAACAATTATTTAAATCTGGCAAGACCCAAATTTGTTTTACCATTTTCATTTAAAATACATTTGATATAGTGGAGCTATGCTGTTCTGAGAACAGACTCCTGGGGGAGTCTGCCAATTCAACAGCTAAACTGAGATCAGTTTAATAAGTAATTTTAGTAGATTTAATCAAGTGCCAAGTGCCAAGTTGAGGAATGTACTATAGATAACAGACAGTAAAGTTATAATTTGAGAAAAAATGTAAAAATGATTAAGCATGGTCTTTTACATATATTTTTATGAATGCCTGTACCTAATGTAACCAAATTCAATCGCAGTCATGGTATAAAGATGGCTATTTGGAAATTGATTTGTGAGGTTGATGCCACAATTTGAAACAATGAAGGAGGTTAAGTCAAGCACTATTAATAAATTCAGATCAGTATTGTGAAATGGCAAAGCCTTGTAATCTTTGGCCCCAGGTAAAATGATGTTCTATGGCTCCCAGTGGCATACTTAATTTACATTTTTACTGAGATATATATACATATTGGTTCACACTAATGTTCTTTAAGCAAGAGAGTGACAGAGGCAAATCAGTAATCCTGCACATTACTGGAGATCTAATTTTGAAAAGTTGTTGTTTGATGCATGGTAAAGAAACTCAGTGAATTTTGAATTTGAATAAGAAAATGTTTGTGCTTGTGTATTTGCAGTTGTGTTTGTGTTATACAAAAACATGAAAGATGAAGGTGAGCAACAATCTGCTCGTGCCATAATAGACAATATGCAATTTACCTGATCATTCCTTACTTGAAGTAACCATTACATGAGTTCTGCTGATTTAGTGCAGCTCATGTCTATTTAGATTATATGCCTAGATGACTTGATATTCCAGTAACAGTTGCTTAAAAGCTCTATGAGAGGTATGGGATGGTTAATGACTTTAAGGAGTTAATAAGAAATTCAGGGCTGGTGTTATTCTAATAATCATCAGTGATGTCCAAAATGACATTTTGTCTGTCCAGTGGCTGGGTTGCTAGTACACCACAAGAGGTATGGAGGGTAAGAAGCTGAGATTAAAAGGTAGGCATAATAGAAACAAAAGTAAGGAAAGTATATGAAATCCAGAAAAGCATTTTTAAAAATATTTCACTTAGTCTGTGTAGAGAAAAACAAACTAATACTGTACAATGGCATCAGCAATATACTGTATAGAGTAAAAGGCATCTACAGTATACTGTATGTGTATTGAGATTAATCATATAAGAAAATTAGAATACACATACTGTAAACACATAAATCTTTTTTTCCATATCACTGTCACACTATCATGTTATTGTTTGCTCTTCAGACCCTAATTCCATTTTTTCACCTACAGCAAAGGTTTTCTTCCCACTCTTTGGAAAAACAAGACTTTGCAATAGAATTAGAAAGATAATACTGACATAACAAAAAACAGTTACTAAAATAAGTAAACAAATCTTAATAATTGTCTTACATTTCCTGGGTGTGGTTTATTTTAGATGTAATCCTGTTTTTTTCCACATGCCATAAAATCATCTTGATCTGTGAATGTGTAGTTCACTCCTTTTTTTGATTAAAAAACACACCCCTTTCTTATGACAGGTATTTTCACACCACTTGCCAGTTTCTCTCAATCATGTAACTCTCAGAGACATTTTCAGCATTTTACTGGAATAGTTCAACTCTAATCAGACACTTATTCTCAATGGAACATTTTACAGTCATCTATATGATGAAACCCATTTTCTCGATTTTTGCCATTGTTTTACTAAATTGAGCATTTTAAGCACAATTGAAGCAGGGCTCTCTAGGAAGCAGTGGGCTGTTACAGGTCTACTGCTGCCAGCAATAGCACATAATTTGAACAAGCTTTGGTGGGTGGTGTGTTTTCTGAATTATTTCCTCAGCGGTGGTGGATGGATTTAGAAAAGATACTGTAGGTTTCATTTGCAGGATTTTTTACTTTTAGTAATGTACATAATTGGACTATTTTTTAGTACTTAATGTTAACTGGTTACTTGGTTTCTATATTTGATACAAACTGTTACTCTCCATCTGTTCAAAACAGTTGTGGTTAAATGTAGCAGTAAGAGACATGTTTGTGGTGGTGCTAGATAAATGAATACACTCCCATTGGTATACAGAGTGTTCCAATCATCAAATTTCACTATATGCTGATGACATTTTCCTGATTTAATTTAATTATTTTAACTCAATCCCTCTGTTTCAGATATTTGTTATGAAATATCTGAAAATGTTTAAGATATTTGTTGACTTCAGTAATTTGAATCTTTAGATGTACAATAAATTCTATTTCACTCACACCACAATATTTTGAGCAAATTAATTCTAACTAGTTACACTTCAAAGGAACCAAAGAACCAAGAGTTTGGTGGTAATAGTGATCTAAACCTTTTGGGTTTGTAGCTTTTACTAATGTCAAGTATTAATACAGGGTTTTTTGGTTGAGGCTGAAATAACTTGGTTGAGTTCTACAGCAAGTAAGGAGGGCTTAAACCAATCAGACTTTGGGACATTTTATTTCCAGAATTTTCAGGATCCATGTTTCTCTCTCAAAGGCAGGACTGTTTCTCTTAAAATTGCAGTTCACCTAAACATTAGAAGGAAAGTCAACTGCTTTCTCTTAAAAAGTCATAAACTTCACTGATTTGGATCATTTTCTTTATTCACTAGTTCTCAACACTTTTTCTACACACTTTTGTCTACAAGACTATGATGTCGCTTAGTGCTATCTTTGAAGACAATGACTTGTGCACTAAGGAACTTAGTACTTCTGGAACTAAGGGAAACTTTCTTGCTAATGGATTTTTCTGGATTTTAAGTTCATGATACCGTGGTGCTTACTGAGGTATAACTAGTGACAACCCATGCAATCTATAATGCTGCATTTGTATCTTACCCTCCACTAGACTCTTCATGCCTACAGAGTGATTTAAACTAATTGTTGAAATAGTTTCAACAGTCATTATTAGGAACAAAAGCTTTGTTTTTTTTCTCTTATCTAAATTCAGTCTCCTATGGGAGTCCTTATTTGGATGCAGTCTGGCATACAGTAATAATTTATCTTCCTCTTAATGTTTAGTACATTGGCTATTTCACCAAACAGCTTTCATAGTCATATTGAGGGTGTCATTGCTACCTAATTAAACATGTTTTGTGAAGTGACAAATGCTTTTGGGTGTATGTAACTGTAGGAGATTAGGGGTTTTAATCTGTTGTAACAATCATTTTAACAGTAAATTGTGAGAGTACTTGATGACTTTTAGGAATAAAACATAATAATTTAAGTCTCATACACACATTCTAAATATGCAATATACAATTTATTCTATATCATAAATTGATATAACCTAAACATTCATAAGAAACAACAATGTAATAGAATATATATGTGAAATGTTCTGATGTGAACACAAATGCTGATTCCTCACTCAGGGATTACAAAGATCAGAATTAATAACTTCACAGTTAAAATATGCATTGACTGTTACGCGTTACAGTCTAGCTCATAGGTTTTATCAATCTCATATAATCTCATAGGTCACATTTATATTCTCTGACACCAGTAAATATGCATTTAGATGTACTATTATGGGCTAAACATTAAACATGCATTTGGGGTAACGATTCAGCTCTTGAGGATTATAATGTGAATAATGAAATTTAATTTACTCAAACATCCATTGTCCAAACATACTTGATCAATTTAAACTTTGCCCTGGTAAGTTATTTCTGTTTGG